GTTACTTAACTCCCTTCTTCTAAATGTCTCTGATGGAGAAATTAGAATCTTTTCCTGCTTGTAGATCTCAGTGTATTTGAAGAACTATCACACCCAGGCATCAAAGTGGAATGTCGGACTGAAGAGGGGCACGTTCCCAACCTGTACCTGTCAAATGAGAGGGAAATTGCTGCACAGAGAGGCATGTGGTAAAATGTGTTTGTGAGCAGGGGGTGCTTCACTCCCCAGAGGCCTGAGTGGGCTTCGGGGAGGCCGTGCAGTCACCCAACACAAGGCCTGGCAGAAACTCAACCAAGTCTCCTCAGAGACTAAGGGAAGACGAATAAAGAGAAAAGGAGATGAGGCCTACAATTATGGTTGCAGGCTACTTCACAAAAAAAAAACCTTCAGGCTCCCAAATTACCTGGGGGCTCTAAGGCATTCTTGCTTCCAAATCTTTCAGTAAAACTCAGAATCGTCAAGTGGTAAAAAAAAAAAAATCTGTCCAATTAACATTTACCCATATTCAGGGGACAACTTGGCCACATTCCTTGCTGTCCCAAAGAGGGGCACCAGGACATCTCTTAACAGCAAACAAGGCCCTCGTGGAGAGAGAGGGATGTGTGTTTTCATTTGCTCTTCCAGATCAGCTGGGCTTATTTTTTTCCCCTCAGGCTTTACTAACCACACATCAGGGTTTCTGCCTATGGGGAAGCAGAAAAACCCACTCCTGCACCTAAAACCTTTTTTAACTTTCAATGTGATCCATAAAGACCCCTAAATTCGAGTTCACTCCATACTGCTCACAGAGACAAAGGCAAAATTGATGTGGAAGGCCTTACAGCAAACCTCCCTGGGGTCGAGGCCCTCCTGCAGGTTCTGGCAGACCTCACACATTCAGCAAGCTGCCTGGTCACATTCGGGGGCAAAACCATGGCACAAACACCACCACGAACAGCAGGGCCCATTTTCTCTATAGCAGGGTTTTCTTCAGCTTACCTATTCTATCAACATTCAGGACAAGAAAAGCACCCAGGGCACCTAGGAGAGATTCAGATTTGGGGTTGCACTTGTGTGGAGTCCTTTTTAAAAAATATGTTATTGTTTACGCTATTACAGTTGTCCCAATTTGTTCCCCTGGAATTTTGCCCTGTGGTTTCCCAAGACTGTTCTCAATATGGGCGATCAACAACGAGGAGGAAAAAAAAAAAAAAGAAAAGATAGATTGCTTTTATAGCACTTGTAATATCATTTTCCCTTTACTTACTACAAAGTAAATTACCCTGTTGAACTTTTTTACGAGGCACTTTCTTTAAAGAGGATTGGTAGTACTACACAAGCAAAATTTTGAAACAGGTATGAAGCCAGTATGTCCCAGTATGGCTCAAACCAGAACAGCTATTTTTTTCCACTTACACAGGAAAATTCAGGGAAAAATTGGTTACATGGGCAACTCACAGTTTCTTTTGGAATGCTTTCATGGAAATTCAGGCTGCATTTGATACACACACCATATTTTTTAATGGTGTCGTGTGGGTGGGTTGGAGGCACATGAACAGCTCCAACATCCATATAAATATCCAAAATGGGCACAGAGAAACTCACTCATTTCCTTTTTCATTGTCTATTGCTCATTGACTAACATACTGGTAGCTTAATACTCTAATATTCCTTTATGCACATTTTAACTTAACCATTATTGGCACCAGGTTTCTAAAATTCATGGCTGAAAATGCTATCATCCCCCTCAAACAAGTATTTAAAAACAACAAAACACCAAAAGAGCTGCTACATTTAAAATAAGAGGTAAGATGAGCTTACCCCTATTCTTTTCAACCCAAAGCCAACCAACGTAGATAAACAAACCAGCAAGCAATAAACCTAACATCTTGCTCTCTCTCTCTCTCTTTTTCTCTCTCTCACTTTCTCTCTCTCTCTTTCTCTCTTTGTGCCAAGGGTGCTACCTGGGTGGTAGCCATTCATTCTGGCTTGCCTTCACTTGGAGTAAAGAGGCTAGTTAATGGGGAAATTACAGATGACTCTGTATGGTGGGTTTCATGTTTACATTTGTGGTAAAACCCAAGGCAACTGATCTGTAACCCTGACTTGAATCGAGCCCTTACATGGAAATTTTTCCAGCCTGTGGCAGCACCTAAACAGGCTTTCTGGGAAGGGCGCAAGAACCTACTCTTCATACCATAGCCTTTGCCAGAGGACTTTATTGCACTACTCATAATTGTCCTGAACAGCCCTCCCACACCCATCCCCAAGGCAATGCTCACTACAGTCACATGCTAGTGTATGGTTCAAAAGGATTTTCAGGCAATGCAAATTGATGAGGGTTTGGTTCTGAATGGCAGAAATAATATCTGAATCAAAAAGTGAAGATGTGCAGAAGGCTTTTGAAGCAAAGTAGTAACCAAAGCACATTAAATTGACCAATACAGTAACCACAAAGAAGAACAAAGGGGTGAAGGAATAGTGAAGAGACAAAGGAATGGGTACATGGATCTCTCATGAACACTGGAATCACATTTCAAATCCAAAGCTGTCCACTGCAATTAGCACTCACTCTAAATGTATGCAGCAGAACTCCGTCTACCTTCCTTGCACTGTTTTTCCTTGTGGCATGAGGAAATGCTTTGCCTTACACCATTTTAGGGATTTGCTCTTTCACACTCCATGTAGAAATTTTTTAAGGTAAACTATGAGCTAGCAAGTCACTACACGTTCAGAATACATTTGCCAAATTAGGAACCCAACATCTTCACTCCAATTAGTTCCTTTGAGGTGATAAAGTATAGACAACCTTGGTTAAAGCAAGGACTACAAGCAGATACACACAGTTACTTAATTTGGAGTCATCATGAAATCCTTACACTCAAACTAATCGAAAGAGGAAAACAAGAACTGCCATCTGTCTCCCCTTCATGTTAGTGTGTGAGCTTCACAGCATCAGGCTGGGTAAGGGGCTCCACAGTGCAACCTGCATGTGAGGTGTCAATGAAACTTAGCCACCGAGGGAGCTCTGAATGCTGGGAGCTGAACGTCAGGTAATAAAGGAAATAAATGCCTTCTGATTGATTGCTTAGCCTCATCCTCCCGATTTAAAAGTCCCTGAAAAGTTCCGCCTCCTTTGGTGTGAAGCAAAGATAACATTTCCCCCAAAAGGAAATACCTTGCCTAAAGTAAAATAACATGTATACCACGGTACATCTATCTCAGGAAGTTTCAGTAAAACTGAACACCTGCAAAAACGTGAAGCACAGGTTGTAGGCCACAGGGTACAAGATCAGTAACATTCCTGAAATGAGGAAAAGTCATCATTTTACAGTCTTCGGTGAAGTTGCTTTGAAAAGTCAGTGATTCAGTCCCCTCAAGTATGAGTAGAAATGGGAGTCAGAGTTATAATAAACACTTAAGGCCATCTTGTCACTGGCAAGTGATGCTAAACAATGTCACCATAACTGACTGCTTTCCGGAGTCTACAAGGAACACTTACAGATTTCGTTCTTGATACTTCTGATAAGAATTGGTCTTTTATGAAAGAATAGGCTATAAAATAGTTTACATGTGTTGCCCTACAGAAGGTCTCAGAAGTTAGGTTTAAGATATGAAGTTTCACATGCATTTTAAAAATTGTTTTAAGAAAGAATACACTGAAATAAATTCAAATATATATGAGTACTATTCCAGCATTTTGATGACTTCTTTCCCTCTTTCTACTTCACTAAGTAAAATATTTTTACTGTCATGAGCAAAACTGATAAAATAACGTGGTCTTTCCCATTGTTAATCCCTTTTCCACTTTACAAATTGATTTTCCAGACAGGCATGGTGTCCTAAAGGAATCCCATCTCTTGTGAGAGTTCCTTGCTTGGACACTCTGAGCCTTGCCTAGTCTACAGCTTCTAATAAATGACACCCTTCTTCACACTACGAGTTTTACTTGTGTATAGTGGTGGGGGAGGTCTATTATCACTTTCTTTTAATGAGAAGGCTTGAAATCCCTGGTTAAAAGTCAGTGTCAGCAGTACTCAGACTTGTCAAGATCATTAAAAACAGGAAAAATCTAAGAAACAGTCACAGTCAAGAGAAGCCTAAGAAGACTTATTATTAAATGTAATGTGCTACCCTAGTACAGTCCTAGAACAGAATAAAAAAGGATATTAAGTAACAAAGTATAGACTATAGTTAATAATAATGCATCAATACTGGTGCCTTAATTATAAAGTTAATGTGTCATCCTAATGTAAGATATTAATAATAGGTAAAACAGCATAGGGGTTATATGGAAACTATTTGTAGTGCTGCTTTTCCATAAATCTAACACTCCTCTACTATAAAAAGTATATTTTAAAACGTCTGTGCCAGTAATAATGCAACTCTCTTTAGAAGTACTCATATTATTTGATAACTTTGTCAATTGTAGAATGTATTGGGTGATGTGAAAGAATTGAAAAAATTGACCCAGGCTCTTTATGAACAATATCTATGGAGATTTCCTGCCCACCGTGAAAATGACATCAAGGATTTCATGCTTTAAAAAGAAGGCAAATATCTGAGTAAATCATACCAACTTGTGGAACATACACGTGGAGAACTCCGCCCCTTTCTCTGACCCCTACAGCACATAGAACTTCGCAGGAAAATGAAAGTCACTGCATAGCTCTGCTTGCACTTGTACAGGATACACAGGCAAGATCACCATGAGGCCTGATGGGTTTATTGCTACCTGAAGATCAGTTGCCAAGGCAAGAAATGTCTTCTAAGCCAGGCCTTCCAATGAAAATGATAGTTAATAATAATACCTTTGGAAGTGTTAAGGTGCTTCACATTTATTATTTCATTTTATCCTTGCAGATGTATGAAACAGACAGCATAGATGATCATGGTTATTATCATAATTGGTGGAGAAAACAAAGATATGAAAAGGTTATAAAATGGACCTAAAGTCGTATCACAAGTAAGTTCAAGTAAGAATCTAACTCTAAACCTCCACCTCCCACCTTAACTCATACCTGGGAATAATGTGCTTTCATGAAAAGAATTTTCTTATCTTAACATTGTGTTTCATAGTCCGGTGCACACACCATTCTAAGCATAACAGAAGTCTATGGTGAGGCGGTTCCAATGTACCACAATTTCCTGTAAAACATTAATGATAAACAGAGTGAAAAGGCCAGGATAGTGTAAGACAAAAAGTTGATCGTTCTTTCCCTCAATATCAGTGTACCAGAAAGAAATACTGAAAAAGAGTGTTGCTACAAAATTAAGCTCAGAATTGGTCACAGAATTCCACAGATTCATCCCTAAATATTATGACTAGAGTGGCATGAATGCTGGATCTGACTAGTGCGTGCTGTATCATCTTTACCTTAAAAAAGCAGTTTTACCTGATACCACGATAGCCTGGCCACTCAGCACATTCACTTGCTGATTTGCCACTGAGAGCCACTTTTGTTACAGAGATGCTGACAGAAGATTTAAAGTCCATCTTGTTTCCAATGAACCATTATCAAATTAAGAATATGTAGTTATAACCTGGCACTTACTCAAGAAACTAAAATGTAGTTCTTCAATTCAGCTATAACTGAAAAAAGTATCAACATGACTCAGTCATTCGCTGACTATCTGCTGGATGTCCTCCATGCACAATGCACCACAATATGGACCTAATGTGAACAAAGTACAGCCCCCGTGTACTGGAAACTTCAGTCTTCCCAAGGGAAGCCAGTATAATTAGGTCAGAACCAGAAGACTTGAAGGGAATAATATTCTAATATTCCTCATGTTCTTTTTCCTTCCTCTGCTTAGAACTCCAAATAAGCGCAAAAAGTAAAATACTAGGAAAGTACGTTGGGAAAGATAATGTGCAAAATGCTCCTCATGGATGTCACTCCAGATCATTTAACCTGGCTTCATTAAAGAACATGAACCAATCATGAGTCTGGGTGTTGGTTTCTTTTCAGTTTGAGTGCACATTTGAGAACAATGGCTACTCTGAGGTCCACTTCCAGAATAACAGCATCAAAAAGGTACAAGTCATTTCTGGGTTAGGTTCAAGGGTCTGATTAAGGAATGCATTTTAGGTTGTGAAGTGTATCCCATCAAACACTAACACCTGAGATTGGATTCATTTATGAATGGAAAAGGTGTAGATTTAGAATAAGTCAAAAGAACCATAGCACTGGGGAGGGTGTAGTAGGGCAAAGTCTCCAGACCCACAACTATAGTAGGGCTGCAAGAGATTCCTTTTCCAGCAAAGTCAAAGACAGAACTGGGATCTGACCCTGGATAATTTGTATTATAAATTAATAGAGTAAATGACTCTAGGTTTTTAAACTATGTTTGAGAATAAACACGAAGCAAATCCCATAACTTTATTCCATGGCAATCAATTCAGTTGAATATGCCAAAATGCTCTAAATTGTTGAAAGGAGAACAAACTTAAAATAACCTAATCTCATAACCAAAGAGATTTAAAACTGAGGAACAGTAATATCCCTACTCTTTGATCCAGAAAGTATGGGTTTTTGAACTTAACAACTTCAAATTCTGCTCATTTTCAAGCAACTCCTACACCAGCAAAAAATACCTATAAAGAAGAGTAATGCCTAAATATTGAGAAGTTATTTAAATTTTACCCAAACGTATTGAAAAAGTCAAATTGAGCTACAAATCCCTGCAGACATAGTTTGTCCCTGTCCTTTTTTGGCTTTGCCTATATGGAAAAGAACAATAATTGCAGAAAGTATCATTCACTTTGAACATTTCTCCCAAAAATTATCTAACTCCACTCTTATATTTAAGGAAGTAAGAATTCCAGAAATTTTGACCCTCTGGCTCCGTATCCCCAAGCTTCACAATTTCCAGGTAACTTATGTAATATTACTGGGAGTAGCAGAAGACAAACAAAACAACTGTACAAAAAGCCTTGAGGGATTTTTCTTTTTGGCTGGTTAAAATGTTTCAGAATTATTTAAGAGTTGGAAAGGGAATGATAAACCACACCCTCTAAGAGCTCCAGTCTGAATTCCACCATTAGTTTACACCATGTTTTCCAATCTAAAATTTCAGTCTATTAATGAGATGAAAAGGAAAGAGCACCCCCAAACTGGTGCTGATGTCATATGAGCTGGCCTGAAATAAAACTTCTAAAACATAATTTAATCAAAGAACATACACTGAATTCATCACTTAACACCTTGTTCCTTATGCAGATACAAGTTCTACTGGCTTCTTCCCAAGGTGAAAATGCTCATCTCTCCCCCACGTGTGGTTTCTACAAGTGCCATAAAGCATGAAATTTATTCCAACCCAGAGCTGCCTGGGACTTCATACACAGGAGGCTGTTGGAAAATCATTACACCCATAACAAACACAGTCCTTCGACAAACACGCTACAGACAGTGCTAATATATATCATGACAGAAGTTCTAGAACTTGGTATCATCTGGGCTAAAGCCAGGTTGTAGTTTCTCATATAATTTTATAGTTGAATCAATTATGAAAGAAAATTAATAAGATGTATTTAGATTATGACTTCTACCAAATGGCTGTATCCCTCTCTCCAAATATATAATTTGCGAAAGATAAATTTCTCCGATGCCACACAAGAAATAAAAAGGAGAAGTTTTTGTTTGAGTCTGTTTATTTTTTAAAGACTAAGTCACTCCATTTCAAATGACAATAGAATCATCCTAAAATCCCAGATAAAAGGGGCAAGGAGGTCAAGGATTGGTCTGAGAGCCTGAAAGAACTTCAACAAGGGCCTCACAACAGTGACCCTGTGGAGGGCCTTTGTTCTAATGTTTTGGGGATTTACTTATTGGGTCTTTGTCATGTGCCAGGCATCATTCTGTGTCTAACATGGCTGATCTCAGTGAAGACTCATGACAGGCTAATAAGGTAAATAATATCATTGCCACCATCTGACTGGTGTAGAAATAAAGGCTAAGAGAGATTAAGCAACTGTGCAAAGACCCAGCAGATCAGAGACAGACTGTGGTTTCTACTCTGACAGCCTGACTCTCAAATCCACACTTCATCACTTTGCTGGACTGCACCTATCATATGAGCTTATGCTCTTCCACATCTTTCTGCCTCAGAGGATCATGACCATGGCCACCGGTAAAGAGCCAAGTATGATCGTGAGTCTTTCTGCTCCTCTTAAATATTAATTTCAAACCCCTATGACAATAATTTCTCAGAATTGCCTGATTTAATCCCTCAGCAATTCCACAAATATTTACTGATTGCCTCTTATCTATGAACAAAACTGACTAAATGTATCATTCCTACCCCCAAAAAGCTCATAATCCATTACTTTAAAAGGACTATACAAATAATTAAAACAAATGAGATGGCATGCAAAGACCAGATCATTAAGCCCTTGTGCCTAACTCTTTACCAAGATCTTAAAATCGACACCCTTTGTGCTGGTTCCCAAATCCCTACATGAACCAGCCTCTCCCCAGCTGTCTTGGGGAATCTTACTACTAACCCCTTGGCTCAGTGTGCTGCAGACACTTGACCTTCCTCTTATTCTTGGAACTCACCAAGATTTCTCCTGTCTCAAGACCTTTGTGCCTTCTCCCTCTTCTCCTAGATCTTCTCAGGGCTGTCTCCTCCTTTGCATTCAAGTCACAGCCTAATACCACCTTCTTGAAATGACCTGCCCTGAACAACTCAATCTAATCTGGCCTACACTCTCTTCCCCACAACCCCAAGTATAATTCCATCATAATTATCTAATGTAGTCATAGTATGTATTACTATGAGAAATTGAGAATTTTTACACTGTATTTACTTGTTCATGGTCTGCAACCCCATCCTCCACCAGAGGGCAAGGCCCATAAGACGAGGAGCCTTGCTCTTGCACCTCCTGGACGAGAAAATGTGCACTAAGTTAACTGTATAAGAAATGTGGTTTCAAAGAGACGTGGCAAAGCTGAGTGCTACGGGCCCTGCAAGGAAAGAGAATAAGGTGAGCAGGGGAGAGATGTCTGGAGCATGTTCAGGAAGGATAGGGTAGTTTACTTTGGGAGGTGTACATCCGAACATAGCAGAAGCGGACTGAGTTAACAACAGTGAGAGTCTCCAGGGTCAAGAGGAAGAATTCGGCGGGTAATAGGGATCCACAGAATGTTTCACCGCAAGGAAGTAGCACAGGCAAAGCATAGCATAGCATTAGAAACGTTAGAGGCTGAATTAATAGTCCAGGCAAAAGACACCAGTGACATTTTAAATCATTGTGATAAAAAACTAGAAATCTCTGCCTTTTTTAAAATAGAAAACTCTCTAAACAGGAAGAAAAGAACTATGTGCTTAAACTGTTAACTACTGGAACAGAAAGTACAATGTTATGAAGTATAAAGTTGAACATAATGATGAAATTTGTTTCTCTAATATCTGTTCAAAAGCCTTTTGCAAAATAAACACAGATTTATTATATCAAACCACCCAAAGTGACTCATCTCTTTGGAAGTACGTCTCTGGCATCTTCTTCCCTCAGGCCTCAAATTCCTCTGGAAAGTCTAGCAGATTAGTAGCCTGATGACGAGACAGAAGTTGGAACTCAAAATCCTAAATCCGCTTCTGCCACCGACTTGCTGTCTGACGAGGAGTTTCGCGTCATTTTTCTATCTGTAAAATCTTTATGTGGCGAATGTTTCCTATATTAACTGAGCAGTGGCTGGTAATCACCCTAATACACCAAAATGTGTGGAAAGCCTTTCAATGAAGTCTCTTACGAAGTATTCTGACACTGTCCTGTACTGCAGTTTTTTCCTGTATCAGGCAGTGAAAGTAGAAATACGCACATTAACACACGTCTGTGTATGTGTGCCCCACAAGCAGTGGCTCGGCCCTTAAAATTTCCCAGATAACGAAATTGAAAAAAGTGTCTTTTTAAAAGACATGATGATGTAAACACAAGGAAGTTTAAAATAACACTTGTATAAACTGTTTGAAATTGAAGAGAAAAAAACACACCCCAAAAGCATTCTGTCAGAATAAAAAGAAAACAAATCCAAAATCCTGACAGCAACATAAAAGCCAATTCTCCCCCTTCCTTTTATAATGGCTTTTCTATTGAGCTTCATTTTGACCTTCCATCACTTTCCCAACGTTAAAGAACACTGCCT